TACTCACCAGGGTAGAGTCTCTTTCCTTCCGCTGCTTAGACGCGTTTGTTTGCAGATTGGTAAAAAAAACAAAAAAAAACGGGGGAAAGTCTTGCTGCAGTTTGCAAACTTGTTTGCTCCGATAAAGTCTGCTGAGTGAGAGAGAAGGGCGTCCGATCCTCCGGGAGGAGTCCGGCCGCTCCGCCTCCGGAGAGGAGCGCACAAACCCGCCCACCCACTCAGATCCACGAGCGGATTCTCACCGCAGACCTGCTGCACAGACTTCCAGGAAATGTTCGGTCAAACTTTTCAGCCGCTTTACATCCAGCACAGCTTCAGTCACTACAAGGTCCTGAATTATAGAAATAAAACAAAGGAAGTATCACTCAAAAATTATATTTACACGCAGAAATGGTGATGAATAATTACTTTTGTGAAATTATAACTTTTGTAGAAAAAATAGGCCTACTCATGGAGATTCTTTTAAACTTTTTGGGAAACATTTGATTGCATCTTATTAAATATTCTGTAATGATAAAAAAAAAAAAAAAAAAAAAAAACTACTGTTTGTACGTCACTACTTATTAACACTTTGCATAAAAGTTATTGGTAATGCATGTCTTTAAAAAGCTAGAGCGCCATCTAGTGGACCGAAGAGGAGTAAGGGTGCTTAGGAAGTGCTTAGGAAATATAATACGGTAATATATTTAAATAAATAATTGCATTTCTATCTTTTAGTTTTGCGGATTCCCTCTGATATTTAACATCTTATTTACAACTTTTTTTTTATTGTTCATGAAATTTAACTTATTTTTTGCTAAAATAATTGGTGCTCTGAAGGACTTCTTCAATTTATGATCCAAAGGATTATATATATATAAAAATCTTTGAATATTCTTTTGTAATAGACTCCAACCTAAATTTTTGGATTTGGTTTGCATTATAACCTAACTCTGATTTTACTTTTATTTATTTTTTTTTTTTAGATTGCAGGTGTTAATCAAATTGCCAAACAGTTATGTTTTAAACCAGGAGTATAACGAATCAGCTCCAGTCTGAGCTCAAGATGTCAGACACTATTTCATTGGACTTATTCCGAGCGGTTCTTAAAGATAGACAACAAGCTTCTATGAAACAGTGTCACTGCTTTTAAATTGTTTTTATTGTTTTATATTTGTTCATATGTATTCATTGGGATTTATTTTTTGTAACCAGGTTGCAGCGTATTGCAGATCTCTGTCCAGGTCCCCCCTTGAAAATGAGATCCAGATCTCAACGGGGTTAACCTGGTTGAATAAAGAAAATAAAAAATAAAAACAAACTGGTAGTTTCATTATATTTAAATATGTATATTTATTTATTTATATATTTCACTTGTTTAATTAAAACATTTAGATTTTTCTTTAGATTTTATTTAATTTGTCTGTGTACTAAAAATAAGTTAAATGTAAAAGCATTAAATGTTTAGTATTAAAAACACTTTAGAAAGTATTTTTCTGTGCTCATTTTAGCACATGACACCAGAAAAAAATAATGTTTGCTGATACTATCACTTGTTATGATGGTATCATATCATAGCCAGTTTTTTTTAAATAGATATAACCAAAACAGGTTATCTTGTGGAAATGGGAATTAAAGAAAAAGCAATCCGACTAAGACAATAAAGGAATATAATGTTAATCAGACATTAATTACTCTCAAACATGATTTATATTTCCTATAGAGAAACTACTTGAGCAAAATCTGGTTAGGCTGAAATCAAGGAGCAACCAAACCTGTAGAGGTTGTTCCTGAGAAATGTGTAAAATTTGCTTGAAGCTGGTGTCCCCTTCCTGTAAACTGCTAACAGTGTAAGACAGACAGTGGAAGAAAATAAATATGTGCTAGTGTTTTATTACTAACAGATCTATAAAAATGCAGATTTTAAAGCTCCATTTGTTCCATTGTGGTATTCATTTTTTTATCTATAAGGAAGGAAACCCGATGATGTATCCATATGAAGCTTGCCTTAGCCGGAAATCCGAGACCCAGCTGGCTCCCTTCCTGTGCTGTATTGTTAGTTATGTGTTTACGTATATTTGTGACTGCAGAGCCAGTGCAGGTCCACAGTATTTACTCCCAACCCATGTGCTGGCTTACAGCAGCAGCACTGCCACACAATAGGAACTTTGTTCTCTACTGAGGTACCACAGATGGGCTTTCTGATCATGCTCAGTGCCTCCTGAACAAAAATATTGGAACTGTTTTTCTTTGCTCAGTTTTCTCAATGGGACCTACCGGTATTTGTTTTGACTAAATAAATACAATCTATATCTGCAAATCCAGTTGGTGACTCTCCGTAAGTCTACTTTATGTTTTAAATGAGTGTTGGGAAAATTGACTCAAGCTGTGCAACCGATTTAGGAGCTATATCAGTCCCACCTTTTACACAAAGTTGTCCTGCATCTAAACCACATAAGCAATTAGCACAGGATTATTATGTAACTTGAGGACAACCCCAACTGGGGCCATTTTAGCCCATTTCTTACCCAATATGTCCCACAAGTAAACAACCTGCAGGCGATACAGATTCATTGATGATGTAATTTTAAGCAAAGGATTTCATAAACCCATTCAATCCTTGTAGGATCATCTGGGGCTGGTTCACCAGGAAACACAAAAACAAAACATGATGAACAATTATGCAAACGCCGAACTCACGCATGAGGCAAATTACTGGAGCCAAATTACCTTAGCTTTGACCCATAGAAGGAAGTCTGAGTACCCAGAGAGAACTCATACATGCACAGGGAGTTCATTGGCACTTCATTCAGAAGGGATCTAAGCAGGGCTTGCACAATCGCAACACTGTTCAAACAAGGCCAGCAATTTGAAAAATTGCACTTATACTTGTGTCAAAGTGTTTGCAGTGTAAAATAAAATGATGAAATTGGTAAGTAGGGCTTCACATGTTCAGCTACAGTTGTTTTGATTATATTTCATAACTAAATGAGGCTCCATTACAGCTGAAACCTCACGCCTATGCAGAAAAACAACCTTTTCTACATTAAAAAAACCTCCATAGGCTGTGTAGCTGTTAGGAATTTTGACAACCTATGACAAGGAACTGAAAGAGTAATGTGATGAACAAGAGGCCTGTTTTCGGTGCAGCTTGCCTTCTGAAAGTTGGATGATCTCATTGTTAGCGCAGGAGGAGCAGCAGGCTCTTTGGTCCGGTTTCAAGGATGAGAGCCAAGGACCTTCTGTCAGCTGCCTCAGCTAGCAGCCATGACAGGAAGTCAGCTTTCAAACATGGTGGTCCCACTCCTACAAAAAACATGTACACCCACCACTCTCACACGCTCTGCTTCTCCCTGCGATGAGCTTTGCTGCTTGACAGATCTACGATTTATGCCTCATATCCAAGCTCAACCGCAGACAGAATAGGCAGTCAGCACTTTTTCCCCTCCGAGCATCACCTCTGTCGGAGTGCTGATCTGAGACCAGCCCTCGGAGGATGACAATACTGTCATGCTGATATCTGCATGAAGATAATTCTTTGCAGATGTAGGAGTCGCAGCATTTACGGCATAATTGGCCTTTTTACAACACTTGTGGGATTCAGTCAGAGAGCAAGGAGCAGCCTGGGTTACAGAAACCATTGTATAAAAACTGTTTGGCTCTATAATGGCTGACTTATTTTCAGTGTTGTTGTTTGATGTCATTTAAAGCAAGCCAAAAAAAAACAAAAAACACACACACACACAACAAGCTGAACTTTAAAATACATAGAAGTGCTTCTTAGTTGAGCATCATGAAAAGGGTATTTATTTAGCTTATATAAAAAAAAACTGAAACTCTTATAAAAACTCAATACACTCCTAATTATGTCAGACATTTATATCTAATAGCTGATGAATACAAGTTTTTAAAAAATTGACTTTCAAAGTATTGAAATGTATTCTTTACATCAGCTCAAATAGTCAAAGGAGAAGAAGAAGTTGCCAAAGGAAGAAAAAGATGCCTTAGATATATACTGTACAGGATATGCAGCGCATCCATATATGACTTTTTAAGCTTTTATTTTTATTTTTTTATAGTAGGATCATTATACAGGGTTATTGCAAAGGGTGTTTACGTGGGTATTTATATAGATGGATACTTATATTTATATATATATATATAAACTTATTGCACTGGGTGTGAAATATAGAGAAAGAGGTTATTGCACAAGGTTTCAAATAGTAATTGCAGATTATACATTGTGCAAGTCATTGCTTGTAGTGTCGCCTTGTAGATTAATTGTAAATTGATCTTCTAAAACTAAAATAATTATAATTCTAACAAGCAAGGGGAGGATTGCTGGTGTCACTTCATTAATAGCCTTTTGTGAAATTGCTTTTATTGTGTTTTGTGGTCCAGTTTTTTTATTTGTTTAACAAATGTTTTTTCTTTTATTCTGCTTTTATTTTCCTTCTACTTTATTATCAAAATCATGTTAAGCACTTTGAATTGTGCATGTACTGAATGATACTATGCAAATAAAATTGCCTTGCCATTAGTAATCCAATTCCAGCACAAAAGGTCATTGCTACAGAGGCTGTCTGAATACCTAGCACTGTATTCAACATCAATATGGAAAGTTAAATGGAGAGAAAAAAGTGCTGTCTTTAATATAGTTTCAGATTTGAAATATTTTTATTAGGTCTCAAATTTTGGAATATTAAAGAGACTTAGAGTCCTAGTCCTGGGAGATGACTTTAAAAGGATTTTATCTGCTGGTTTTTACAGTTAATTATTGTTCTTATGTAATAAACACATTTCCTAAGGAACAGAAGGTTGTATTTGTTATTGGTTGCAGGTCATAATCATAAAACTTCAAATATATCTCTGTGTATAGCATCTGCATTTTAACATTTTAGAAATGTTTAATGATGTTCTAATCTAGAGAGTAGATCTATACCTGTTTGTAAAATCAGTAATGGTTGTCATTTAATGGCACTAAACATTAAGGCATTGAAGGATCAGCCAGGACATTCACATCACGCTGCTATCACACTTTATTAAAAATAGAAACATATATATTCATATTACTTTTCATACAGACTACAATGGTCCACTGGTAATATTTAAAAAAAAAGAAGTTACATACTATAAAACACTCATTTGGCCTAAATCCACTGTAGAAACGTCTCCAAAAGCAAACAAACGAACAAAAAGGAAACAATAAGAAAGCCTAATTCAAGACCCTTGTTTCTGAGGTGAGCTCTGTTCTTTCTTTGAATGTGTTTTACAAAACAAATATTAATGCTTTGGGAAAAAAGAAACCTTTTTGCTCAGAGAAATAAATGCACATAGAATCCAGTTTAAAAAAAGATGGCACATTTATTGCAACATAAATGTTATATACATGTTTTCCTGTTGAAAAAGACAGAAAATTCAAATTCTTGCTGCCACAGTTGTTTTTTTTCCTTTGTCTTTTTTTTTTATGCAGATCAACACTTTTTATTTGACACAAGATCAAATCTTTTATTGAGCGACAGCGGCGACTTAAGAGGAAGATGAACGTCTCTATTTCAGGAATCTGCAGCTCTTCGGAAGCCTTTTAAAGAACCCCATCACAAGCTGCAGATCTGCTGTCTTTTGCCATTCGTAAATCTCTTGCAATAATTGACAAGTTATGGTAAATAACCGTACATTTTACTATCTAATATAGTAAAATAAAGTAAGAAACTTTTTACTCAAAACTTTTGCTTTCAAAAATCTAGAAAGAGTAATATTTAGAATTCAAGAAATATTCTTACAGTATTATAGTATAAAAGACTAACTACAGTGAAAAATAAGCCAAATGTATTTTTTTTCTTTTGTTTTTTGTTTTTCTCATATATTATACAAGGGAACGCATCTGGGAATACAGCAAAGTCTAACTTGGCAAACAGAGGAGCAAAAAAAACAAAGGAGGAACAGGAAGTAAGCAGACAAAATGAAGGAAATTAGAACTGGAAGTGACATAGGTTAGCCTCTCAGTCAACAGTCTGTCAACATGAATACAAGGTCATGAAATACTGAAAGGAAGAAGACGGTCGAGTTCAGGCGGAGAATGCAGATAATTTTGCTTTAATGCATCGCAATAATAAAAGCGTGTTAAATGTAAACTCCTGCTGGGCATGATTTCTTCTAGATGAAGTCCCTTTGTTGTCCTGAAGTCTCATCCTGAACGCGGCCGCTTCGTTTCAGGCGGAAAATATGACAGAACATATTATACAAAAATATGGAATAAAAAGCAAGTCTTAAGACCAAAAGATACAAAAAAAAAGGAGAGATGTAAAGCATGCACACTGATAGGGGAAATAAAATAAAGCCATAATCAATGCTTTGAAATGTAAAAGGAAACCTTGTTGACTGCTTTTGTTCATTATGGAGCTACTGTCCAATGATAACCAGGAAGTATCTAACCTAGCCTTGATCTAAACATGACTGAAGAATAACTTAGATGTTCTCTGATGATTGAGACCCGACGTCATAGCACTGGAAGTCAAAACGAGGAACGGACTCGCTTACAACACAAAAAAGCATAACTCTGAATAACTGAGCTGGAAGTTTAATTTCTTGTTATATTAAGAAAAAGAAAACTGATATGTTCATCAGGCCAGGAGAAAATGGTCATCGTTCTCTTCTTTTTTTTTTACTTTTTCTTCTACATCTTCAATTCGCTGGTGCCAACACGGCCAAAAACAGAACAAACAAAAGCAATAGACGAAAAAAAAAAAAAAAAAAAAAAAAAGGATCTGGATGTTGACCTCAGACCGGGATCTGTGAAACCATTGATCTGTTTATGTTTTAACACTATATGGCAAAGGGAGACCTTTAGTCGAAACGAAATATTCAGGGAATGACAAACATTTTCCTTTTTTAAAGTTTCAATGGAGGGAAATAAACAAAAATAATATAACATATGAGCTTTCAGTAAAACTACAGTTTGCCAATCATCTGCCACCTTTAGGGTGTCGGTTGTTGGGCTTGTTTTATCATCTCAGTTTTCTAAACTACAGACAAATACACATTAGGTAGTTTTGGTTTCAGTGGCAAAAAATAAATATAAATAAATCTTTAAACAAATATTGGACAATTCTGTTGTTTGCAGCTAAAAGCTAATATTTGTTGTTGCAGGGTATAAATATCAGTCTAAACTGGCCAATAAATTAATCTCAATCTTCTCAGTGCCCGAATGTTTTCCCCTCATCTTGGACTTGCCAAAGACTGGAGCGGGGGGGTGGAGTGCTCTGTTTCAACGGTGACACAGGCAAACTATAGCTCCACTAGAAAGCTGCATGCTTCTGTGTGTTTTTAACAAACTTTCCCTTTAGGCATACACCGTATAGCTCAATAACACAATAAATAGAAAAAAAAAAGAAACAGACGGAAAAAAAAAAAAGCTGTTACAATGCATTCGTCAATTCAGTTTAGGCACGAGGCAACTTCCTCCTAAGGTTGGAGGAGACTGCGTAGTCTCTGATTGTTCAGGAGCAACACACTTCTTGCAGACACTGATATGTGCGAAGGATTTTAGTTTTTCTTTGCAGGGAAAAATTTGCAGATGGAAACCGGTCGGATGGAACTGGACGATTGGCTTTCTTAAATCTCAGGGCTGGATTGTGTTGGACTCTTTTAGTTTCACTTCAAGTGATCTGTCTCCTGCAACTAGTGTGGCGAACCATGAGTGCAGTCGGTCACTGGGAGGCAGGCTCACCAGCTCACGCAGGGCAGAAATGATCTGCAGCGCATTGATCTGGAGAGAGAAAAAAGATCATATTTAGGTCATTTACCTTTGTTCATGTTTAGTGTAGGAAACCTGTACCGAATTATTTATGCAACTTCGTTAAAAATGAAATGCAAACAAAACGGAAATAATTCAAACTAGAAAACATTTTTTTAAAATACAATAAAATGTGAGCATAAAATCTGCTAAAAATTGTGTTGTTTAAATTTCTTTAACTCTTTTTAATATTTTTTTTATCTGCTTCTTTTTGTTAACACAAAAGTGAGCTATTGAGGCATGGAAAAGATTTGAATGTTGAGGCGAAGGTACCTGCCTCCTGCTCAGAGGTGTCCCATTGGGTTGGATGAGTCAGTCAGTCCTGGATGGACTCCTGTGTGCCCCTGCTGCCCGTCACTCGAGCTCCCAGACACCTTCTCCTCCTCTCGTCTCTTAAGGCAGGCTGCTTTGGGGTTGAGATTTCGCTCTGTAGAATCAAAGAAATCCAAAGAGATGATTTTTAAACAAGAAACTACAGCGAACGATGGAAAGCTTTAAACCATGGTCATAATGTCAAGAGGCATACCGAGTGCATAAAAGACAAGGCTGTATCATAAAAAACTGAACTTTTATAATAGACCAATTACAAAATGGTGAGTAATTGATTTACTTCCTAATCTATAAGTTATAGAAAACCATGCAGCATGTATATTATTTACAATGTAAATGCTGTTGTTCTGTTTGTTAAATGTTAACTTTCTTTCATCCCTTTTGTATCACTTCATTCTTTTTTATATGTTTTTAAAACCATAAAAGAATAACATTATATTCTATTTAATCAATCATCACTGAATTGTGTTTTTATTATAGGCTTTTAATACTATTATGATTCATGTATTTTTTTCCTATTATTTCACTTCAACCTGATATTTTATAAATGAGTTTCTGTCAGCCTGAAACATCAGTGGCCTTTAAACTTTACAAACACCTTAAAGCAACTTTACTAGAAGGTAAGGGAGCACTATTACAGATGTCTTACATACTCTCAGCTCCAAATATAAATGTTTAGTGATTTTTGAAAAATAAAGAATTGTTTATATCAAGTTGTTTTGGTTGAAATAAAATAAAGTCATTTGAAAAAAGCCTCTCAAACCAACTCAGGAATCTATTTTCATGCAAAAAGAAAAGAAAACAATTAATTCATTCCAAATCTACATGTAATTAGTGATTCTTCTTTTGACTCAACACAGGGAGAAGCATTTTCAATAATAATAAACTGCAGTAGGATTATTTAAGAGTTTTAAAAAGCCCAAAGCTGACTTGACGTGAGGTAGTATTGACATTTCAGCTGCAGCAGCGTTGCAGTACTGACCTCTGACTTGCTGCTCTAAGCTAAGAATGACGGCCACAGCCTGATGAAGGATGAGTAGTTTGGTCTGGGGCTTCTCGCTTTTCAAGTGCAGCTGGCACATGCGGCCCAGCTCCTTGAAGGCCTCATTGATGTCTCGAACCCTCAGGCGCTCACGGGCGTTGTTCGCCATCCTCCTCTCTCGCTCGCGCTCGGCCTTCTGTTCTGGATTCAGGTCCTCGTCTTCAGTGATGCTACTTGAAGGAGAGAAGACAGAGTCCAGATAAGTGCAAGGCTGATTCTGACAACAGATTTCAGAGACAAAAAAAATATATTTTCTTAATATAAAAAATCCTTCATTGCAGATAAAATTATACATCACAAATGCAGGCTTGTGCATCGTCGTAACCAGACAAAAAGATGCAGTCTAAGCAGATCTATTAATGTTTTTTTATTTAATAATATTTTCAGTGAGAGCTTAAAATATTGAACAGGATTGTTTTTTTATTTTTTCCCAGAAGTCTTTTTAAATACTCTTATTTCGATAATATATCGGTTACCAAAAACTGAAGATAAACACTTTTATTGGATTTGCAAATATCCAACTGCATCAGTGATCAAACCGGTAGCAAATTTGAGTTCCAACCTGGTTCGTTGACCTGCTCTGGGTGTCTTCATGTCTCTCCTGTCACTCTCATCATCCGACTTATCAGTGAGGCTATCGAGCATGTCCTCCTTTTCCTGTTTCTCAATCTTCAGTTCCAGGGTAGCAGGGACTTGACCAGATAACACTGATGTAAGACCTACAGTCAGTGGATAAAACACGGAGGTCAGTCATCCTGGTTAGATCCTTGTAAGCTGTAGGACTATGAAGACGACCCCTGACCTCTGAACGCTTCCACTTGATGGTTAAGTTCTGTGCTGGACGTGGAGCCGGTGCTGGGCAGGCCTCCATGGCTGTTGCTCAGGCTGACATTGTCATCACCACCCTGCTGGAACACAGACAGGAAGCACATGAACAGAGAGGAAGCAGGAGACAGCTAAAACATATTTTTAACAGCAGAAAACAGCACTCTAAAGGATGAAACAGAAAAAAAGGAGGATTTTGATATATGAAGATCGGCAGGGTTCTGTATGTTGTGGATCATCAGTACCGCAAATATACCAATCCGGCATTTAAATGATCGATATAATGGAGACAGGTTAGTTGCTTTATTTTTCATCAACAATTCAAAAGAAAAACCTTAAAACAGGATAAACATCTGAGTGTGTTTAGATAATGAGTTATTATTATCAGTGGTTGCAGATTTCTTTTGTTTAGCACATTCTTAAACTCAATGCTTAAGCATGAACAGTAGAGACAGACAGGGACTAAGTCAGTGAGAGTGAGGAGTTTCTCCCTCTTTCCTTAAGGAATGTGATCCCCAGTCACTGTTGGCCTCTGTTAACCCCGCCACTCAGAGATCCTCCCCTTCCTCGGCGCTACGCTAATCTTTGCTGTGCTCTCAACAGGTGTCCAAACAAGTCTTTGTGAGAAGGAGAAGGAGGGAGGCTGGGGTCTCTGCTGAGAAAAGAACGCTGCCATTTTCACGGCTGGGCCTGATTACCATACAGCTGAGGACCTCTGTTTGGGTGGAGGCCGCCGGTTCAGACGCTGGTTTCCAACGATTCAGATTTCCTGGGTTGTTAAAAAGCAGTGATGAAAAGGAGTAGAAGGGAGCAGAGGGTGGGGTGTCAGTGGAAGCAAAAAGCCTGCGGCTGTGCAGGGGCCGAATCTGTGGAGCCCCGTCTGAAGGGACCTCTTCCCACACAGGATGTGCTGTGTTAGTGCAGACACAGTATGTTCTATCTCACAGTTGCAGTCGGTCAGCGTCAGAGCCACAGGCTCGCTCTCTGTACCAAACACATCACACTGAGCTCGCCTGACAAGCACAGAAATATTCTTGTTCAGGGACACAACAACTTCAGCTTTGGGGTGAAAACATCAACAGACAGAAGTCATGCTGGCTTCAAAAACAAAGAGTATTTAAAACATTTGGCCCTAAAAAAACAAACCCTCTTTGTTATTGACAACACGAGTTGTTTCACAACTAAATAAAACTAAAAGATATGTTTATTTACTTTTTATGACTATATCCTTCTAAATAAACATTTTTTTATAATAAATATATTATTATAATAAATATAATAAACTCTATTTGGTAAGAACACAAACATGTTATTTATATTCAATCAAGAAAAGAAAAAACAGAGAGAGCTTCATAGCCTGTTTGTTTTTTTTTATATTCTGTAATATTATCGGATCTCAGCACTCTGTTTAGATAAACTAATAAAAATGGAAAAAAAAAGTGGGATTATAAAGTTTATAAACATGCTAATATAGATTTAAATTGAGGCAGTAAGGCTTCGTTAACATTTGATAATTCTATATATATAAGATCCCGTTTGGAGTTCCTCAAAGCTCTATTCTTAGCCCACTTTTGTTGATATCCTGCTGCTCCTCTAAACTTTTACAACATCTCTTATAAATACTGATAAAAAATGATTACTTTCACCACATGACACACCTCTAACAGAGAGTCAGTTTTTCCATAATCCCAATAAGTCCAACTAAACTAAATATTTATATCACCTTTATGTATATAAAAAAAAAAAGTCTTAGCAAGACTCAATAAGGCTACAAAGAAGGCAAAAAAAAAAAGGTTTAATCATGGAAGAGAAAATCTATTGCTAGTCTATTATTAAATCACCCTATAAACCCCCCCCCCCCCCAAAACATAGTTGGAATAAAGGTTTCCTCTCTACTTTGGACCAAAAACATGGTGATTGGTTATTTTAAGTAGGTTAGATGATTGTATACATGTCTTTTTTGGTGACTGTAAAAAATTTAAAAAAAAATAAAATACTCCACCAGGCAGCTGCCAGAGTCCTAACCAACCCCAGCAATACGGATCACATCAAACAAGTCCTGAAATATCTTCACTGGCACTTTATAAAATCCTTGATTTTAAAATCCTGTTTTGGTCTCTGTTTTTACAGAACCAAAAAGTAAGGTCTATGTTGCTCAGCTCTAGAACTAACTTTAAGAAGCCTGGGATAGTTGAAAAAACTATTAGGTCTAGTTTCCAGCAAGTTTCCCATAACTGTCACGTTTTTCAGATGTTACCTACTAGATTTATATCATACGTTATTTATTTCATCCTTACATTTTACTCAAGAGAACTTTGAATTACCTTACATATATAAAGACTCTTCTACACAAACAAACCTGCCTTGCATTATTTAAAGTGATCCTTTCTATTAAGGCTGGGTATCGATTCAAATTTCAACTACTGATTTGATCCCAATTCTCAAGATTTAGAGTCGATTCTCTTCTATCCGATCTCAAAGTATTAAAAACTTCATTTTTTTTGCCATTACCTGAATTACAAAGCTGTGTAGTTATGCAACACATTGATACTAGTATTATATTAACATTCAAGAGCAAAATATTAAAGTAATGGTAGTTAATGGCGGCTGTAAAGACAGTGGTTATATAAATGAACTTGTTACGATAATAAAACTGACCATGAACAGATTTATTTTCATAGCTGTAACCCAAATGATTTCCCAATATCTGGATTACAGAGACGAGTTGCCTTGTTTTAATTACATCACAGATGCATTTGAACCTCTTGGGTCTAGAAAATGAAATACCTCGGATCGGATGGAGAATGGATGAACACATCCTGATTTATGCAGGGACGCGCATTCTCTTCCCCCTCAAGAGGCTTGGACTTTAAGAGGAAAGCAACACACAAACAAGTCCTACAGAGAAGCGCAAACTCACTTCACTTTGCCTGTTTTTCTCATTTCTCCCTCACCCCAGTGTAAGGAGCCGCTCTCCAGAGGAGGGTGAGCTTTAGGCCAGGCATTACGCTTATGGAAAATTATGTCAGTATAAATTCAACTATTTATGTGTGGAAAAATGTCTAGCTTTTCTTCACGGCAGAGCACCAGCGTTGAGCAGGTGGTTTAGCCTGCGATGGGGGAGTTTTAATGAAAACCATACGCAGAAACTCTGAAGCAACACAAAACATTGAAACACTTGCAGGGCGTTATCATACCATCGTCGAAGTCCGACTTGGAACTAGAGCAGAGGCGGGAAAGTTTGGTCCAATGGTTGTTATTGGCCCGTTCGCCTGTCCCAGCAGGCTGTGTATGTCGCTGGGCAGACTGGTGGTGGAGCCCACTGCATGGTTCCTCAATACAAGGATTGCATCATCCAATCTGTCCAGACGATCTTCCATTCGAGACTGAAGGGAAAAGGGGGATTGTGGAAAGAAAGATTTAGGAAAACAGAAGAAGAGAAAGAGAAAAGGGCAGAGCAGCTTAGTATAAGCATATTAGGAGCAAAACTGAAAACACTGATTGTATGGAGTGGACTTGGAGTGGGGATGAAAAAGAAGATAAAGAAGGTTGTTTCAACTTAAAATAAACCATTTCAGCTTGAGCCATAAAACACAACTTGATTCTTCATTGTTCTTTAATCATATTAAATCAGATATTATTTTACTGTTTATAAAATAGAAATCTGCAGTTAGCACGGTCACTGCAAGCTGGAATGACTGCAAAAGACCACATGACATGACGATAAAACAACTTAGGTGACAATATTTTTTACAATCAACAATGTGGTCAAACTTCTGCAAAAAAAAACAAAAAAAAAACGAAGATGTATGGGAGATGCATGGATATAAAGCCTCTGAATAGTACCTCGCAGACATCCTTTAAGAAAGACATGGCATCCTGGAGATGCTCATGTAACTGTTGATGAACTCTGTTTTTCTGGCAAAGTAAAATAAGAATAAAAGAAAAGATCAGCGTCTATATATAATACCAACACACACAGGATTAAGATCGTTTTTCTAAAGTCATGCAGACAATAAAGTGGGAGGATTTGTAGAAAGGCAAGCAGCTGCAGACCATCCACTTTGTAAAGATGAAAGTGTTTCTATGTTTGCACGTCTAACAGCTCGACCTGCGCCACTGGTTATAAACTCTTCTTTATGTTAACTTTAATGCTTCTGCGTTACAAATATAGGATGAAAAAAGTTGCTTTTAGTTTTGCTTCAAAGGCTAGATTGAAACCAAAGAAGGAAACATCACAAAACCTAAAGGAAGACTACTTCCTGGCAGTCCTCACTAAGAAAGGTATGCGTGTCTATTTTGCAAATGCTTTGACTCTCTAATGCAAAGGAAAACATTTTTTTACCATCATTTACAAATACATCAAATTATGCAACCAATTTCTCGCCTAATACTTAAATGTTCCCTTTCCAAAGTCGAATAAAACAGCTTTTAAATTAAGAAGTTAACAATAAAATATAGTTCCAGAAAATATATGATAAGCATTATAAGCCCTTTTTAGAACTGGTAATTAGGTGTCATCATATATAGCTTATCAACAAGTATTTAAATGTAGGCTGCTAGCAGCAGGTAATGTTATCAAATGCTAACAGGTAGCGGGCTGAATGTGATCCTCAGCTCCGGTTGGATGGCTGCAAAGGAATTCTGTAGAAGCGGCTCAGCAAACAGCTGCTCTCCCCTCCACACCCTCCCACACCAGCCTACTTAACTCAACCCATCCCCCTGAACCGTCACCCACACCCAGGAGTGGGCCCTCCGAGCTGAGGACAGATGGCAAGCCCAGAGGGACAAGTATTGTCCAGTTTGGTTACCCCTCAACCCCCCCTATCTTCCTCAGCGGAACATTTGTCAGACAGGAATCTGCATGTAATGCTAGCTCATGCCTGAACTTATCTAAAGCAAGCATCAATCTCACCATTTAATCGCTCACACAGGGAGCTTACCAGAGAGTGGAGGGAGTTCTCGTAACTTGGAGAGGAGGGAGTGTGTCCACTTGCACGAGGCCACTGGTTGGCACCTGAGAGGATAGGAAAGGATGTGATACCGTGAATGAGCTTCATATCAGCACAACCAGAGGCTGCGTCCTGCACACATCACACAAAGGTGACTGACAAACAATAACACGCAGCCATAACACTCTGACATCCTGATTTTCTGGCCTCTTGTTCCATTATAGATATTTTTATCTACCAAAAACCCAACTGCATCACTTCCTGTCGACTGGACTGCATCCTGAAATGTGAGCCAGCAGAGAGTGCGACTAACTCCCACTTACACCCTGAAGCGTATGAAAATAAAATAAACGAAGATATGAGCAAAGCGGGGCCCTGAAAACTCTTGCTTTTTTTTTTCTTTTGTTCCTCTAAGCACTTGAAAAAGTTTCGGCACAGGGCCTTTCAGCCAAGCTAAGCCTCTTTATTCTTTCTCAAACAAATATGCTTTACCAGAGGAGATGTAGTGACACAGCATCTCTCAACAGGTGCTTATTGGACTAAAGTTTCCCTGGCTTAGATTTCATTTTGCATGTTTTCGTTTACATTCAAGCTCCCATCAGATTATATCGAAGTAATTTGAATTTTTTTACTCTTTTCATCTTGGCTTGTAAACATCGATGCTGGATTCAAGGAATCTGTCAGAGCCAAGAAGCTAAACTGAAGGCCAGCGCCGGAAGACCAATCAAGCTGATTTGGTCTGCTGTAAATTAAAGAAAAGGAGGAATGCACATCTGCTCGTCACATTTAAAGCTATTCAACATTTCTTTCCCTTCATTTGTCAAACATCGTTGTCCAAGTAACCTGCCTTGTTTGTGCAACAGAAGGCGATGTGTAAAAACACAATCAAATACTCTGAATGGGTTTTGACAACATGAAAACTTTCCAGGTTATTCCAAGGGTAGTGCGTCTCAGGCCTTTCAGCCCACACTCCAAGCTCCTTGTGGAAGGATGCCAAACTCAACCTACACGGCTGTAAATGAGGTCTGCTTTTGCACAGTTCACAGATGGATGCTTACATATGGTTTTAATTAGAGTAAATCCTGAAATGCATGGAAGAGGAGCGTTAAGTGCTCCTTACAACAGAAATGAATGCATAAATGCAGCACCAGACCTTAGGTGTCAACCTGTATTAAGCTATAACAAGATTTTAAAAAAGTGAGTTTATAAATCCTAATAAAGTTGTTTGGCTGATCTGTTCCTGTGGTTTAACAGCCTTTTAATGAGATATTAGAGAAGCTACTGTATGAAGTATGAGGCAGCGGCACTCCTCCTCCCCTCCTGGATAAAAGAAGCTTCTACATGGAGGGTCAAGGTGTGGAAATAGACATCCCTCCTTGGTGTTATCAACCTTCATTTCAAGGATGTAGGATATCTTAAACTCTAAGGAAAATTTATTGAAAAGATTTTACTGTACGCAACATTCTCACGCAAAATCACACCATCTTAAATGGTCGATACTTGAAGTGAAACTAAACTATTTCTTGATTTACTCAGCAAAGCTGATCCTTAAAAATCAAAGAAAACAAATGAGTGAAAGTAACACACCCGATCCTGATGCTGCACAACACTGTGAATCTTCAACTTTCATCCTATTAAAGACGCACTTTTCCGAAGGTCACATTGAAAGCGAAAAGAAATCCTGAAACACATGATGGGTTTTATGCTTCACAAAATGAGACAGAATTATTTCTTACTGCATATTTAGAGAGGATTATATAATGGCTTTCACTGATGGAGAAGCAGTGAAAAAATTCCCACCTCCCCACAGTCAGGAAACTGTTACCAGTTTTTCCATTAATTAATTCCACTGAAACGTCTCCGTGATGCTTTGCAGTCTTTTGTACCCTGGTTTTCTAATGTTACCCCCCCCCCCACACACACACACACACACTTAGCCTTTGAAAAATCAGACTTTAATTAACAGACTATTTAAAGTGAAGGAAATGAACGTCTGCTCTGCCTCAGCTCCCTCCCAGGTGAGTGAGGGAAGAACTTCACACGAGCCTTCGCTGGCTGGCGACTGTGAAAAATTAGCCTGAGGCTCGCTTCCCCACATGCACCGGAGAGGGCTAATTGAACAAACCAGTCTTGAGTAATGTGCTGTATATTGCTGTAATCCCAGTGATGAATGAATTTTGCGACTAACATTAACAGCGAGCCAAATTTTGTGCCAATTTTGGAAGACTTGCTCTTTTTTTCTAGCCTCAGAAGCACAATAAAGGGCAAATCATTAGAGGCACAATATCCCTCTTCTACAGTCCCACGTGAATTGGTGGATTATGCTTCTTCTATATAATAAAGAGCTCTATTAGTCATCACTGAAGCGTTTCTGTAACGCAAAAAGGTGAAGAACGCCGCCACAGTCTGGATCAGCTGAGTCAGAGGCACTTTCCTTCACCCGAGTCTTTTCCAGCCTGTGTGTCTGTGTGTTGGGAGAACAGCTGTCTGTGGGGCAGGGTAACAGCTGAGGACAGGGGGGCATACGTGGAGACAGCTGTCGCCACTCCATTACCGTGCATGACACAACTGCTCGCTAAAACAACACAACGGGCTTTCCCTTACCGATCCCCCTCATTCTCTTTCCATTACCCCCCCTCCTCCGTCAGCACCCCTGACAGTCCATATTACTGTAATGTACATCTCTTTTGTCTGTACTTTACTTATAAAGCCAGCGTGCAGCAAATGGGGAACTTGTTTTTGCCGTTCTCTCAAGCGTGAGAAGATGGGCAGCACTGTTTTTTTTTTCTTTTTTTTTCCTGTTTTTGTTATTTGTGTTTGCGACAGAAAATAATTACAACTTGGAGGCAAATATGCGTGTCCGTCCTCAAAACTCATATAAGCATAAAGTACCACAAAGCCCTTGTCGAGGAAAGTAGGATTACACTCCAACAAATCCAGTGTCTAAACTCTTTTTCATTTCAAACACGAGTTAACGCCAAGAGCTGTTATTATGAGTCAATAAAACGGTTTTGCACAAATGAAACGCTTTTTAAGAATAGTAATCCAGGACCTATTTCACACACTTTCAATTTGAGATTTTTGTGTCCTTTAGAAGAGCCAAAACGTTACTTTCTTTTGTATGATCATGTCTACAAGTCGGTTTAAAAAATTTGTTTAGATTGAAAACAAAGTCCAAGAATAAAAAGGAACATAAAGACTTTATGTTACTCTGTTGGTTAAATACAGAACAATGACTAAAAAACCCTCTGAAAGCTGAGAGGAAATGTAAAACCCTCGATGTCAGTGTGGATTAAAACTAAAATATGTGGAGAAGACTGGACCAATACAACAGTGATCCTATGGTTTAAAAGCAAATCTCCTACTTCTTCTCATATAGTGCAGATAAGAACAGGCCAGTGTTTTTTTTTTTGTTAACTTAAGAAGACAAAAATTCAAATACCCTCAAAGTTGTTAACTGCACTGCTTAGAGGATGTGAGGCAAAGCTTTCTTTTCAGGATGGATTCCTTAGAAATTGTTCACACATGGCTTAAAGAGCGAGTATGAAATGATTAGAGTAGCTCTAAAGCTAAACGTGGTATTTAATTAAGTTTTGGAAGAACTTTCAACTAACCATTCTGCTCATGCTTTGATTAATCAAAGCGGAATGTAGTACGCAGTAAAAGTCATTAATTTAATTAAAGTCACAGGGGCCGTGTTTCTGCTGCGGTGCGACGGCAAACGGGGAGAAATCTGTGTGAGTTTGGCAATTTCCAGACCTTGAAACTCGCTTCATCTGTTTGGTGTTTTGGTGCCAAGCACAGAGTGCACAGCACATACAGTGGGTGGGAGGCTCATAAGAACGAGGCAGCATGAAGCCACTTGTTGGCTGTTTGGTGGAAAATATAAACATGAAGAATTTATATGGATCCAAACAAGTAAAAAAAAAAAAAAAGGAGGCTTGTTATGTTGTCCTAAACTTGAAATTCCTGCAGCCCCTGATGAAACCACTCCCTTTGATTTGAAAATTGCCAAACCAAACATCACCCACAACAGTGCACAGTTTACTTTTATTAAATTGCATGCAAATGGTATCAGGCTGCTCCAAAGTCGCTCAATTCAATTCTACAGGCAACAGACAAGTTCGCTGTGAGTAAGTCTTCTGTTTTTGTGAGGAAAATGGACGATTACAGCCGCTCATCCATCATATATGTCACTGTTCAATATCCAACTTTCCTTTTAGCAAAACTACTACTGTTTGAAGCACCAGAAAACAAGACTGATCACATTTAGACTGAAATTCTAGCATTCACAATGGAAAAACCTCTTTTACAGTTAGACACATTATATTATAATCTGCTCCTGCAGATTAGAGCTTGATCTCTATGTTTCTAGAGGGTGTAATTCAAAGAAATAGAAAGCCACTATCCAAATGATCTTTCCATCAATCTGTTTTTTAGATTATACGGCTAATGAATGGAAGCAACAAGAGCTTTCTAATACTCTTTCTGCAGTTAAAACAAGTTCCTAATAAATTAAATCCTTCTAACTGGGTTAAAGCAAAACACAATCACAATGTATTAACTCTTCAACCCATAACAGAAGAAAAAAATGTTTAGAAAATTTAGATTTTTCAATATTTCTGCTGTTCAATAGATGCTTTCAATTGGAGGATAACTTTGTTTTCTTTCTTAAAATACTTCTATAGGCACGGATACATTTAATGATATACAGTAATGTTAAAATAGCCTGACCAGTGCTGAAGCAGTTATAAGGGATCATTTTTCAAACCTACTACTGGTATTTAGAAGCGTGTGTTTGTGTTTTAGGAAAGATTAAAATCTAAAGGCTGGTGCAGTACCTGGCCTCCCAGACGGAGTCCCTGCAGCAGTCACCACAGTCCCCGCTGAGCCAGCTCCTGCTGTGGCTGTCAGAGGTGAAGGAGAACCCACAGGTGTGGACGGATTGGAGGGGAAACTACTGCTAGTGTGGTCAGGAGAGTAAATCTGAAAGCAGAAAGAAATAAAGAAAGACTTAATATACCTCACTGCTGCATTAGATGCATGTAAACTATCTAAACAGGTCTACTTTATGCAGCTAACAACTTCACTCTAACTTGTTGGAAGAACACCAAGATTAGATTTTCTCTTTCTGATCAATACTAAGATAAAAACTTTGGCTCTTATTTCCTGGAGAACTTTTTCAAACAAAAATAAATTCTCATTCAGACCTAAATAAACCTTTTTTTTTTTTACAGAAGCCCAGCCTTTTTTTCTCCTCCCTGGTAAAAAGACAGTTGTGTTCAATTGAGTTACTATGCTTATTATTCCACCGTGGTTTCAAGAGGAGCAGACGCCCAACCTGGAAACCCCGTTAAGCCAAACACGGAAAATCTCCAGGGCCACCTTTTAGTCTGCAGCCTGAGATTGTGCTTCGGTCCATACATCAACATCTACAAGGATCCAACTGTTGTTTATTTATTTATTTTTTTTTTTTGCATCTCAAACTTTGCAGCTTTTACAAAAAAGGAGGACTAGGACTAAAGTTTTCGGCCAGACACCATGGATATTAGTCATGTCGGTGGTGGCTTATCTTTTTTTTATTTCAGTGCCTAGGTGAGGCAGAGTTCATTGAGTTTTGCTTTGACAGAAGATTGAGGGGATTAAACTTTCAGCGCTCTATTTATTTAACCAGGCGGTAGATTAAAATATAAACACATTCCTGATTTATTTTTTTTCTTTTAATCAAAGGATGTTTGTGCCATAATGAAACATGTCTTACCATCAAATCTGGACTAATTAGCATGAAAAAAAACATGGAACGAAGGGGATTTCAGGGACATATTAAGATTAGGATTTACTTTAAAGATATCTCTATTCAATCTTGATTTCCCGGCTTAAATTTTTAAATAAACCTGGAGTTTCAGGTTTTGACTATTATCACTGATCAAGGTGGGGAATCGTTCACCGTCAAGACAGGGATCAGTCTTGTTTATGCTCTTTTAACACCATTCTCCTCTCTGTTCAGACACACAATTCAACCAGGAACACATGAGGCAGAAACCTATAAAACTCTGCTTGAATCTTCCACTTTCTAAAGAGCATCAGCAAGCTGTTTATCACCATGACTTTTGACCAGACAATATATAGCTTTCTTTTCTTTTGGCTCCCTGGCGACTGACGCTGCATTCAAAGTGAAGCATTGCTCATTTTACTGGAATAAATGAAGCCCCGCCTCATCATCAGTTACACTCCCGCAGGCGGCATGGGGCCAATAAGCACGGCCAATT